CCCCAAAACCCCAAAACCCCAAAACCCCAAAACCCCTATTTGGTTATATATAATTGAGGTTCAGATTGTTATGTAAATGAAGACAGTCCTGATTGTATAGTTCTACTTAGACGATATACGTAATCTCATCATATAACCAAGACGAATTAAAGGCCTGCTTTACAGCTGGTTTCCAGTAGTCCTCCTCTTTACAAGAGTGATGCTCATATTGTTCTTAGCTAAGAAAGGCGCTATTGAGCCTGAAGAGTATTTAGAGGGCATCCTCCTGTTACTTCTTTCAGGTCTTCTTCTGGCATTTGAATAATTTCTGGTGTTTTTTCGTATCAATGAGTTACTCACGGTCGAATAATTCGGGCTATAAAAAATTAGATATATTTAAAAATTGGTTTACTCTTGGCAGTCAGGGAATCCTTCTGGATCTCTAATGATGAAACTCACATTTTCATTGCGGAAATCCAACTTTTTGTTTAGAGACTTCCTGTTTAGCATTTGCTTCTTTAAGGGTCTGTAAAATATTAAGATTCAAAAATTATAAAGCTTACTTTTCAAAGTACGGCTGGTCTACCTCCATGGTTACCTTCGAACGACGCTTCCTATGGGAGTTGACCCTGATCTTGTCGATCGAAGAGGAATTTAGGGAGTAGTTTGACCGTGTTTTTGTAATCTCTGGCAAATTCATTCCGCTATCTTGTTCCACGTCTGAAAAATTCCCAATAGGAACTCAGAAATTTCCGTTTTTATTTTCAGATTTCCCTCACACCATTGTTCTTCGAGCTGGACGAAGATGAGATCTTTGTTCTTCAGCTCGAAAAGAATCCAATCGTTTCATTTTTACATGGGAATTCAGGTGTTCTTGGTGAGGTACGTTACTCGAGAGGCCTCTGCTTCTATTCGCAGAGAGGCTCTTGTGAGCAAAATCAGGACTTAATTCTTCATCGTTACCATATTTTGAATTAAAATGATTCTGAAACACAACTTTTTGCTTCATATAGTTATTCTTCTTAGATTTGCTAATAGGTGCTTCAGGCTCTTGTGCTTGAATTACGTTATTCTTCTTGATCAAGATCGGAGTTAGATCCTCATCCTGAGTCTCAGTTGAGCTGAGACCTTCCTTCTCTGTAGGTTTTAGCTTAATGAAGAAGTCACTATCAAATCACTGAGCCAGCTGCTTCTTGTTAAGACGGAAAGAATGCTTCTCATCTGGGCTTCTTTTCAAGAATTTTTTAAAAGATTTCCGACTTTTGATATCAGGTGACTGACATTTGGATACAGTGAAATAAGTGGGGCTTCTCTTAAACCTCCCCTTGAGGGCATTCTTGCTCTTCTTGTTCGAGATCCGAATATTTCTCTTCGAGTTGCCCATCATAGATGCACCAAAACCTCCTGTTTTGGGAGACCTAGCGTTCGTCGAATCTTTAGAAATCGAGAAATTACCCGAACTCGATGATAAATCTGATTGAAATTTAGTTGGAGAGGGTTGTAGATCAATGAAGTCTTCATCTCTGTTGAACTTGCCTTGCTGTTTCTCGATAAGGGACTTATGCCATTTCTCAATTTTGTTAGAGAATTTATTGATAAGTTCTTTATAATCTTCCATACTGCCTTTGCTTTGTTTGGAACCTAATTTCAGCTGGCTCTTTATAACCTTGTTTTTGAATGGAGATTTGGATGGCTCCTGATCGCTCAGAATTCTGTGCTGGATTACTGACAAGGAGAAGCAGTTCATTATTGCCTATAAGTTAGAAGGAAGAAGTACGTTTTTGAGTCGTTCCTGGCAGTCACCATATTTAATTATCTCAAGATATGTAAGAGGTGGCTTCGTCTCTTGGGATCTGGTGATCCAGGGATGCTTAAGAGCTTGCTCAATGTTATACCTGTAGACAGGAGAGTAAGCACACATCTTTTTGATAAGGTCCTTTGCAAGATCGGAGAAAGAGGCATCAAATGTCAGTTTTTGTTTGCTTTTGAGCTTCTCCTTGTACTCAGTGGTAGTTTCACCTTTTTGATGCAGAGGATGCTTTCCACCAGAAATCAGGTTGTACATTATGATACCGAGTGCCCAGATGTCCACACTCTTGCTATAACCTTGCTTGTTGATCATCTCTGGAGCCATGTAAGGCATCGTTCCACAGTGGACTTCAAGAGGAGTCTCAAAGTAAGTTTCTTCATGATGAGTGGAAAGTCCAAAGTCGATAAGTCTGATTTCTTTATCCTGAGAATCTAAAGGTATGAAAATGGTGCTTCCTTACTTTTTGCTTTGAACATAATGTTTTCAGGCTTGAGATCACGGTGGACTATTTCTAAATCATGCAGATATTTGACAGCTTCTAGGATACTCTTCATGATCCCACTGGCGTCTTCATCAGGGATAGATCTTCCAGTGCCTTCTGTACTGGCTTCAGAGACTTCGGAAGTTTTATTAATATATTCTTGGAGAGAGCCTCCTTCACATAATTCCAATGGTCAGAGAAGTAAAGAATCAGGCTTCTCTTCGAATTCGCTACAGCTGTCATCATCGTAGCTGCTGCATTTAACCAGGTTAGCTCGAGAGTTCTCGCCAAGATACTTGATGATAGAAGGATGAGAAAGTTTTTGAAGCATCTTTATTTCATTTTTCAATACTTTCTCAGCTTTGGAAATTTTGGTGCCTATTTCTACTACCTAAATACACAAATTAAGGTTGGTGTTAAAGGAATTTTAAGGGAAATTCGGTCTAAATCTTGAGCATACCTTCAAAGCGACCTTCACTTCTCTTTCCGGGTCAGTGGCTGCATAAACTTTGCCAAAGGCTCCTTTGCCGATTTGTTGTACGTCATCGTATCGTTGTCACAAGTATTCCATTATTAATTCTATTATCTATTTTACAACTAATTATTGGATTTTTGGGGTTTTGGGGTTTTGGGGTTTTGGGGTTTTGGGG